CACAAACACCCGCGAGCACACACACACACACACACAAACACACATAAAAAAACACACACAAACACATGTGCGCATATGCATGTGCAGTGTGTGCAGTGTGGGGAGTACCATGGTTAATTTTCGTCTTCTAGAATATGAATTTTTATCAAAAGAAGCAAATTCAATCACGTAAGTTAATTCCACACTAGATGTCAGCTAACAAATAGAACACACGCAGCTAGAAGAGCACAATAAAAGGAAAACATTCTAGCTGATAATTTTATTTCAAGTTTGTTCATAACAAAATTATAGCAACAGTTCATTTGCCAGAATCGAAAACCTAGTCCTTATTTTTCCAAGGTTTGAAGAAAAGCACGGAGCAGCGTGATAACCCGAGGAGGTCTACAGAGCTGCTACATAAGAGGTCTGAGCACTTTGGGCAAGGGATGGGGACAGCACTAAACATTCAGCTGGGCACTAGGGACACAGCAACGAAAGGTCCCAGCAGCAGGACAGAGAGGAGAGCAGAACCCAGAACTATAATTCTATTTATTAAAATGTTGTGTAGAAACAGCTTTAAAGATAAGAAAAAGAAAGGGAAATAGACAGTGGAGGAGAAAAGTGAGCAAAAAAAAAATGCCTATAAAATCCAACATTTAATAAACAAAGCTCTCTAAGTGGCCATGAGAGACATTTCTAAAAAAACTAAAGAAAGCCCTGATTAAAGAAGTAAAGGGACAATGGTGACAGTGTTATACCAAACAGAAAACCCAGTATCAGTAAAGATCCAGAAATTAGCTTTTAAAGAACCAGATGGAACTTTGATAATTAAAGGTACAATAATAGAAATAAAATTTTTACTAGAGGAATTCATCAGTAAATTTGAACTGGCAAAGAAAACGTTGTCCTGGGCCAAGAGACATCGCTCAGCTGATAAGAGCACTTGGTGCTCTCTCACAGGGCCAGAATTCAGTTCCCAGCACCCACACAGGGCAGCTCAGAACTACCTATAACTCTATCTAATACCCTCTTCGGAGCCATGTGAGCACCTGCGAACACTTAGCAACACACAGATTAAAAAAAAATCTCAATGAAGAGATAGCTCTATTGAGGTCATAGAATCCTAAAAGCAGACAGGAAAAGGAATGGATAGAGAACCAGACCTCAGAAAAACCTAGGATAGAATTATGCAACAGCATTCCCCCGGGCTAAGTGGTATAAATGTAGAGTCCTCTAATCTATCATTGTACAAATGTCGAAAGCTAAAGAAAGAAGGGAATCTTGAGTGACGAGAGAAAATGGCTTATCACTTGAATAGCGATGCAAATAAGGTGTCTTCTTATGAGATCAAAAATTATGAGAAGACAATGGAATGATAACCTGTTCAAAGAAAAGAAAAAGATCTGCCAGTCAAAAATTCCATGTCCAGAGAAATGATATTTTAAAAAATCAAAGCGAGACAAAAAAATTTCCAGATTCCTATACACTGAGTAAAACTGTTATTTCCTATCATTTTGTAAGCATCAAACATTCTCAAGACTCGGGGCATGCAGGCTCTGAATGTAATGTGATTAAAAATAAAAGAGTATCAATAAAGCTGACTATGTACCTGAGACAATATAAACATATTCCTTCTCCTTTCCTATTTTTATTGATTTAAGAAGCAGCTGCATTGAACAACATTGCAGTTTATATTATTAGGCCTATTAATAGAGAAATGAGATGCAGTCACAAAGAGGCACAAAGGACCTAGATGGGATTAAGTTGTATCCAAACAGGAAACAACTCTACATGCTAAGTTGAACTCAGACGAACAGAAGACCTGCAGAAATGATGAAGGGGAAGGTTACCATGACAACGCCTGTGGCTATGCACACGCCGCCATTCTTCTGCCAGCGTATTCAAAGGGCATTAAGCTATATAACCAAATAACTACAAAAGTGTTTTACTGAGAATGCCACATCCATAGACATAAAACCTGCAAAAGTAATATCATAAGACAAAGGTTAGCTAGAAGTAACATTTCTACATTATACCTGAATTAAATTGTTTTTACATACAAAGTTGGTTTTAATCAGCTATACTATATGTAAGAGCTAATGCTACTTAAAATATTCCTTTAATCCAAAAGAAGTCAGTGAAGAAAGTGGAAAATAAAGACATGAGAACAAGAAGATAGAAGAAAAACTGACAGATATATTCCAACCACATTGATATGAAATTAATATAGGCTTTAACAGAATGAATGAACAAAACAAGCCCCAGGATGTGCTGCCTGCAGGAGACATACTTCAGACTTTAAGCCAGTGGTTCTCAACCTTCCTAATGCTGTCCCCCTGTAATACAGCTCCTCATGCTACGGTGACTCACGGCCATAAAATTATTTTCATTGCTACTTCATAACTGTGACTTTACTACAGTTACAAATCATAATGCAAATATCTTATACGCAGGATATCTGATTGAGAATCACTCCTTTAGACCAAATGCTTTCATTCTAAATTTTGCAAAGAGTATGCTGTTAGCATCTCTTCAACTTTTTTTTTTTTAGAAAGTAATGTTTAAATGAGCAGAGGCAGGATGATCTCTGAGCATGCAAGGCCAGCCTTGTCTACATAGAGAGTTCAGGACAGACAGGACTATGCAGAAAGACCCGGTCTCAAAAACAAGAAAAAGAAAAAAAAAAGTGATGTCTGAGCAATTAGACAAGAGAAGAAAGCAAAAACATCTCCAGGTTGATAAAGAGGCATCAGTTGCCTTTAGTCACAGTGTGACTTCGTATATAAAGCCTAGGGAGGCCATATAAAAACAATTAAAACTAATGCAAAATTCAGCAAATTTGAGGGTATAGGTTTAGCACAGAAAAACGCACAATTTATTTCTATACATTTGTCATTAACAACCAAAAACTAAAATTTAGAGAGTTCAATTTTCAACAGTATCAAAAGGAATACTAAATAAATTTAAGAAAATACATAAACTTTTGGCCTTGAAAATCATAAGCATCATCAAAACAAAATCTAAATGAATTATAAACCCTTGATGCTTATAAATCAAAATACTCAATTTTTATTTGCATGACTTTTAATCCTAAAAGTATTTTTGAATCATATCTTAGTATGTAACATACAGTTGTAACATAGATAGTTTATGTAGATTTGCAATGCTGTTTAATATTCCTCTTACTGTAACATTGTTATTAAGTCCTTGAGAATTGAATACTTACATACAATGTGTTTTGGTCACATTTACCGTCTACTCCTTCCTCCTAACTCCTAGTTCCCCCCTCACCCTTAATCCCTTGCCATCTCGATGTCTTTGGTATCTTTTTGTTTTTGGTCTCCAAGTCCAATCTGTGTTGCCCATACACTCAGGTCTGGTGCCACCCACTGGAGTATGGCTGCCTTTCCAGAGGATGCACTCTTTAAAAAAACCAAATCCCTCTCCCTTAGCAACCAATCTCAGCTAGGGATGTGGACTCCCAAGCTCCTCCCCCATTCCATGCTAGAATGTTTACCGAGGTCTTGTGCAGCCATCACCGTTTCTGTGAGTTCGAGTGCATCAGTTTTACCATGGCAGAAGACCTTGTCACCCCAGTCTGTCCTACCTCTGGCTCCTACACCTGTCTGCCTCCTCTTCCTCAACATTTCCTGAGCTTTGGAGGCAAGCAAAAACACTCAATATTCAAGATAGCAATACTCACCAAGCTGATTTACAGATTTGGTAGACTCCTTGTGTGAACCTCACCTAATTTCTCTATGTAGTTTTCCAGTTACTTCTAAAATTAATGCATAATTTTTATAGGTGCAGAAAATTCAAAACAATATTGAAAAAGATGAAGTATTTAGAAAGACTAATACACCCTCATTTAAATACTACAAAACAATGGTGCCTAAGATCAATAGAGTAAAACTGATAGGATTAGAAATAAACTTGTTTCTGTGGCCAAATTATGTTAAATATGAACACAAAGATCACCTTCTGTAAGAAAGAATAGCATTTTCAACAAGAGGTACTGGGACAACCCGCTAGACAAATGCAAAGAAATGAAGTTGGATTCTGACTTTATATCACATAAACATTAGCTCAAAATGGATCAAATCTAAATTTAAAAGCTAAAACTGTAAAATGGAGAGAAAAGAGTGAATCTTTATGAGCTTCAGTTAAAAAAAATGGATTTCAAAAACATTTATCTTCCTCATTTTTAAACATGTGTCTATGTGTTTGTATATGTATGTGTACATACACACATACATACATATACATGTACATGCATGTGAGTATAGGTGACCAAGAAGGCTAGAGGAACCAGATTCCTCTGGAGCTGGAGTTATAGGCAATTGTGAGCCACCCAACACAGATTCAGGTTCTCTGCAAGAATAATGACTAAGATTAAGGGACAGAGCACGCACAAGAAAAGCATGTGATACACAAATATGGGAGGGGTGGGTGCTATGTAACTGGCCTATAACGGGTTGTCATTCATGAACACAAGACTTTTGTGCTTTGAACCCAACACCAGCTATTTAGCCCACATCCAATCACAGGAATGCCCTTCTTTTTCTTATAAACTGTCTCTATTTCTATCACCATCCTTGTATTCCTAGTCCAATTCCCTATCCCAGAAATTGTACCTGGAAATCTCAGTGGGAGCCCTCTGGACTCTCACTCATGCCTATAACAGTGAGAAAAGTAAGTGGGAATAGATAAGAATTATGGGGTTTCTTTGTGAGGTGACATAATTGCTCTAAAATTGACAATAATGATGATGACTACATGTATTATGAATGTACTGAAAACCAGCTGGATTCACTTCCTGTGACTTTCACAAATGAATACCACAAACAGACTAGGTGGTTTGGTATCTTTTTTTTTTTTTCATTTTTTTTTTATTTTATTGAGAATAAGAAAAAAAAAGTTTCCGCCTCCTCCCAGCCTCCCATTTCCCTCCCCCACCCCCCACACTTCTCCCCACCCCCCACTCTACTCCCCCACCCCCCACTCCTCTCCCCCTCCCTCTCCTATCCAAAGAGCAGTCATGGTTCCCTGCCCTGTGGAAAGTCCAAGGTCCTCCCCCCTCCGTCCATGTCTAGGAAGGTGAACATCCAAACTGGCTAGGCTCCCACCAAGCCAGAACATGAAGTAGGATCAAAACCCCTTGCCATTGACCTTGGCTTCTCATCAGTCCTCATTGTTCGCCATGATCAGAGAGTCCGGTTTTATCCCATGCTGTTTCAGTCACAGTCCAGCTGGCTTTGGTGAGCTCCCAATAGATCAGCCCCACTGTCTCAGTGGGTGGGTGCACCCCCCGTGGTCCTGACATCCTTGCTTAAATAATAGGGATCTTGGAAGGATCCCCAAGGCCAAGGTCAAGCTGGTAAGAGCTGGCTTTCTCTTTCTGACTTGCACGAGGCTATCCTCTGGCTGTTTCGCCTTCCCATGGCCACTGTTCTCTGTAAACACAGAAAACTCTTCTCAGAACACATTAATGATACTGGATCAGGGCCCAGCCCTCCTGGCCTCATTTGAACACAATCACTTCTCTAAAGACCTGCACCCAAATACATGTTGAGGTCCTGGCATAAATTTGGGGAGATACACGATACCCCATGATATCATCAGCTCATGATACACTAGAACTGTAAACTCTAAACTGAGCAGATTGTATTATGTATATCTCATTAAATATGTTTTCAAGTAGCATATGAAAGCTCTAACATGATAAAACGTTTTCTCAGAGTCACAATTAAATACATTAGAGAAACGTCAGTCTGTTTCTTTGAAAGCCAACCCCGGGTATTATGGGGTATTTATAATGAGATGTGCAGGTGATGGTACATGGAGCTCCTTTATCCCCCCAGAGAGGAAGGAAGAGGCCCTGCCATGGTACTGCAATTGGGCGTCAGCATATCACCTGAAATCACCATTTTGTTTCATAGGTCAATTGACACTTTCGCTGTTGCCATTTTATTTCACTGTAAGTTTTTACTATTTGAGAATTTCATGTGTGTCTAGACACATGGTCACATTCACCCCTGATTTGCTTCCTCAAATTCCTCTCCTCATAAGCACATGCCCCAACTACGTCATGTCTTCCTTTTCATCATTCTTTTATTTGTTAATAAATAAAATAAATAGTAAGTCCACTTAGGACTGTCTATATGTGAATGGAGGTGGGGCTCTCCGCTAAAGTGCAGGATGCTTACACCCTCAATGAAGAATGACTCTCCCGCCTCCAGCTGCTATCAACTGCCAATAACAACTCCAACTGCCTCAGTAAGGGGTAAGCTGCTCCTCTAATGCCCCAGGGGAAAGAACCTATGTGAGCTACATAAAGAACAGTGAAGACAGATGAGAGAGGGCAGTGAGATTAACCCCAGCATAGAGAGCAGAGGAGAGGGCTAGGAAAAACACTATAAAGACTTGGGTTCTGAGTAGGCTGAAGACCCTTTGCAAATTCATGAGAATAGTGGCAAAGTCCTTTTTTACTTTCCAGGTGCCCTCTGGCTGATGCTCTGAACTGGGAAAGGGTGGAGCATGTCCACTAGTGAAGGAAAAGCTGGTGAAGATTGGATCTGGATTTTATTTCTAAATGATTTAACAGCATATATGTGTATAATGTGTATGGGTCAAATCTATCCCCCATTCCCTCCCTGCCAATTCCTATCTCCCTACCGACTTTCCCTCCCAACAACTTTCATTTTTAAAATAGGAATAAACCGGTGTGCATAGTAAGGCATGAGGAGGAAACAAGATTGGTATAATATAGCAGAACCACAGCCTATCATACCAAGGCATTGGGAAGAGAATACTTCAAATTAATAACTAATGATAAAACAATCAAATCATAATGCTTAGAAATTCTAAGCTAATCTAACAAGAGGTAGACAAAGTATTTTAAAGTGATTGTCACCAGAGCGATTAGGGATAAGAGGAAGACATTTCCCGTTAGGAACTCCCTCACTTTGCTTTTTAAGTCACGTGAATGTCTTGCATCCATAGGCTTGTTTGTTGTTGCTTTGAAAGGATCCACGCAGGTGACACTTACCTCTGGATTTATTGTTGAGTTGGGGAGTTATTCAAATGCAGTAAATTATGAGGGAAGAAGAGCAATCCACCTGTTGGGGAAGTCCAAGTAAAGTACTTTCAGATGGCGAAGGGCCTAGTTAAATGAAGAGTCAACTAGAAGGGGCATTTAAAGAAACTCGATGGGTTAGTATAATGTCCTGTTTATTAAATGTTTCTCTTGAGTGCAGTAGAGTTGTCTTGGCTACTAGACACACTGCGCTAACTTCAGCCCTTGGCTATAGTGAATTATTGATGCCCAGAGCCTTACACTGTAAATGCTAAAGCTGAAACGACCACTAAGTCAGATTCTTCCACAGCAAAAAGATTAGAGAAGAATGACCAGCTACACTTGTGTGAAGAACCAAGTTGGAGGTCAGTAAGGGTCTGTGGTAGCAGGAACTGAGGGAGGTTTGCCTGGTGCCAATGGGGTGGAAATATTGGAAAGAGGAAGAACAGAGACCCAGGAAATGTGGCGGATGTGTGCACTGACTGCAAACGACACGACAATTGAGAAGCTTGGGGGGGGAGTGACAAATTATAGGGAGGTGGGAGAGGAGATGTTAGGGGACAGCGGAAGGAAGGAAGGGTTCAGCACGGATAAACTCAAATAACCACAGGCTGCAGGAGGGTAATATGAAAGAATGGACTGGAAAGACAAGGGAACCCAGAACTTCTATTCTGGAAAGACAATGGTCCTCTTAGAAGGAGCTGCCCTTCCACACCTCCAGCAATCAGTGCCACATGGTGCCCAGTGTTCTCATACCTGATGGCTTCCGGGAAGGACCCGGATATGTACTGGGATGTGTGAGTATGAATTTAACACATATAACACATACGCCTTAAAGTCATAATCAAATCTATTGTATACACATCATCCTCCCCCCCAAAAAAAATAATGTCTGGTTTCAAGGTAATAGCTATTATTTTCCATTTCATATTCCTATAAATCAAATTACATCCAATAACAAACAAATCATATTACACATCATCATAAACTTCCGTTTTCTGGCCTTCAGTAGTGTAGTATATTCTGCTCATTTCAATTACCAGATTCTACAAGAACCAAATAGATTAATTTGTGGCAGTACCACACGTGAAGACGCACTTTGTTATAAAGTTGTCTTTGAGAGATTTTCACTAAAATCAATGGCATGTCACATACACAAGAATACGTATTATAGCTCACTACATAGTGGATATACTTGGCAGTGCATTCTACATATATCCATGTGGCTGTCAGTCAATGGCAGCTCAAGAATGGATGGTATGGAGGGTGTTAATCAAGGCATGTAGTTTAGGCAGCTGCTAAATTTCTTTCTGTCCCTTATTTTGTATGCTTGCAAACAGTTTTGACTTATCATAGTCGGCCCAGGCTGGGTGAGTGGTGATCTAGATCTCCCTATCGGGAACAAAGGAAGCATGTTAATCTGTACTGTCTCTGTGGCTTTAAGGACTCCCTGGAAACAGTTACATTTCAGATGTTTCAGATAGGGACCACAGTGTGGGGTCATCTACTGGTCTGAAACAGTGTAAACGGCATTCCTGAAACCCAGAAGGATCAACCAAAGATGGGATTAATGGAAGTTAGTAGAAACTGGGATTAAAGCCAGATAATGGTCTCCAGGAATTTGAAAGGGGACAGAAATAAATCTTGTGCAAAAATTTCCTTATGGAATATACCCACAACTCTTCATGCAGTCCGCAGTCTCATTTCCAGGAAGTCGTGCTTTGAGCTTAATGGATCTTATGGTAGAGTTTCACACACAGCACACAGAGCTGTCTCAAATATGAGTTTATTATTATTTGTTTGCTGTAGTTCGTTTATAGGGTACAGAGCAGCGGTAGTGACTCAAGGTTCAGAAGAAAAAGGGTCAAAGACCAGTTGAGAAAAGGTTTTGGAGGCTACATTAGTTGAAGGACAAATGAAAGGATTTTAATAAATAATATTAACAATCTACGTTAACTATGGCATGTAATCTCACTGTCTCTGTGCAATCACATAGTGAGCAACACAAAGCTGGGACCCATAGATTCATTTTTCGTTCATTCCAGTGTGAGAATTTATACACCTGGTAGAGTCTTTGGAATCTGCTTTTAATTAATGATCTATGTTCCCCAGGAAGGAAGGGAATCTAAGTTCTGCATGTCACTGCTTCTGAACCTTGCACATGGATGGTTTCTTTGAGACAACATCAGCCAAGGCAAGGACAAGGAGACTTCCCTGGGAAAGTGACATCTCCTCAATACGCAACCATAAACTCCTAGACAGACACCACCAGTGAAGCCAAGGGTATGAGCTCTACTTTGTGCACCCTGAAAACAACAGCTGATGCCTGATGCGGGCAGGAGAGGTCTGGAAGTGGGTGTGGGGGGATAAGGGAGCTGCATTTTTGCTAGTGGGAATATTCTCTGAGTGAGGCACAGATACCCACAAATAATATATGATTGGTCCCCCAAAAGCACAGGGAAGTTCTTTTAAGCTTTGGTAAGAAATGGAACTCAGTAACTTTGATTCTAATTTTCTAATTATTTCTGGATGACAGCGCAAAAAAAAAAAAAGTCCTAGTTAGCTTAGATGAAATCTCCTTTGTGAGTCTGCCTCCTTGAAAATTCTTAAGCTTTTCACCTCAGAATCACAAAGTACAAAGAAAGCTAGCATTAAATGAACACATGCCAATCTGCTATGTACTGGGCATTTTGTTTGTATTGAGCTCACAATTGTTCATGATTTCCTTGCCCACCTCTTTTCCTATTACATTGCCCTCTCAGTCAATCTTTATCCCCATAAGCCAGAAACATTTAAAAGATATCAATAGCCAGACAGTTGCACAATGAGTGTTTTGAGTTCTTATCATTGTTATTGTTCCAAGTTTAGAGCTTCATGATGGCCTCCTGAAGCTCACGTTGGGGTTACATCTAACACATGAAACAACTCATGGTCACAGAAATTCTAGTAAATATCTTAGAGGAAACAGAAATCCAAGTAGAAGGGGTCCTGGACAAGAAGCCCCAGCTTTTTGCTTCCAGAGTATTTACAAGTGAACCTACTAGCAAGAATCTAGGAACATGAGGGCTGCATCTCAGCCTGCTAAAGAATTCTAAAGGCCTTTCTCTTTGCATCTATTTTTAATGATCACTGCTGAGTACCACATGGCAAATAAGGATCTTAATAGTCTCCCAGATGAAGGGATCTATGTGCTCTCCTAAGCAGCCCAAGACGGAGGGAGGGTACTTGGCAGCCTAAGGCACAATGTAAGGATTGATGATGGTTATTTATGAAGATGAGAAAATGCTTTTTAAAAAATACTTGCATCTTCACTGAAACTTAACTGTAGCATTCCTAGAGCATAATATGGTATTACTGTGCATGTTCCCATTGAGCAAGGTCAAAAGTGGGGCTCTCTATCCTCAAAACGGACCACAAAGGAAGAGAATAGAACAGTGGCTACCAGAAATTAGAGTGGGTGGAATAGAGGGAGGAATATAGAAGAGAGGCACAGAAATACAGCTAGATGAGATTAAGTTCTATTGTTATGTAACAGAATAATTAGCATTTAAAGATCTTTACTTAGAATATACTGTCAAAATGTGGTGTGACAGAAACTGGTAATGGCCTACTTCTCATCCTTTGTTCCTTTGTCTTCAAGCAAAAGAGAGATTCAGCTCAGCTGAGGGCATCACTAAACACTGATTTAATGCGATTTTCTGGAGTCACCTTAAAATAAGGGTGTCCAAGTAACTAACTTCCAAGTAAGGCCTTCATGGTCATTCAGTCAGCTCCTTTCCTTTTTTCTCTTTATGCCTTCTCTTCCTGTCAGGAATGTAGACATGATAACGGGTTAGAATAGCTATCTTGCACCTTGAAGATTAGGTCACATGTTCTTGATGGTAATACCTGTGTCTAGGACCTAAGTGACACCACAGAACAGCTGTAACAACGGCAGGAAGTCGACCCCCAGAATGACTGCACTTGAGAGAAAAGCCTTCCATGCTGTTATACCTTCCTTCAGATGTCTGTTGTGCACGCCTAAACGTCATCTCTGTTTATCCTCTGTAAGAAAGGATAAACAAAAGCAGGACAAAAGTGTTTTATCAAGGTGTGAAACAAAGAACATAGCATGTAAAATCTATGACTATCAGAGCAGACCAGGTACATTGTGGGGGTTGGAGGGACAGGGTCTAGGAGGGGACTGTGGGAGATCTATGATTCCTGAGTTGACTGGGAAGACTTCTTACTATAGGAAGCTGAAAAAAATCCAGTAAATTACCACTGTACTTCCAAATACTTTGTGCTCAAGGTAATTATTAAACAGCATTATTTATCAATATGATTTTCTAAATCTGGGGGTAAAACAATTGCCCCTTGTCAAGAGTTCGTAGGTAGTTTCTGAATCTACGTCATAAGAAGTGACTTGAAACCGAAGGACAGGCTCCTGCAAGGAGCAGGGAGGGAACTGAAATGGTTTTCAAAGAGCTTGGCTCTGCCCTCCTAATTATTCTTAATCCACTAAAGAGCTGGAAACATCTTACACATGCTAATTAATTAAGCCCCCTACCAGTCCGTTGATGAGTCCAGGAAGTGGCCCCAGTGTTCCATGTTAGGACCGCTAAAGAGCAGCGCAGGGGGCTGAAATACAGGCCCCTCTAGCTGGGTGAAGAGAAAACTCCAGAAAGGTCAGCAAGGCAGCAAGATGCACGAAGGGAGCTCTAAGGACAGCGGGGAGTTGAAGATGCCAAGAACACGGTCTGCACGAAGTCTGAAACCATACTATGTTATCCTAAGTGCCATTTCCATCTCTCCCTCACAGTGGAGAGATGCCCGCCATTGCGCCTTCCTCTCGAAACTCCTTATCTGCCAGGCTTCTTCCGAGTTTGACCTGTGTGGTTTTCCGTTACCTCTTAACACATCCACTTAACAGAGATGATCATCTCATGCTTTGCGTTCTGGTTTCTTGCCTCCCACATTACAATCGGCCGCATCATTTGAACTGGCCTAAGCGATTTTGACTGCAAATAAAAGACAGCTCAGCTGACGTGGTTTGAAGGGGAT